ATGTTAAATGGACAAGAAAAAGATGTTTGATTACCACGGCGAACCAACTGGGACTTCTCCCTCTGTCTAATTGCCCAGGAAGTGAGAACAAGAGGAAAAGTAGCACGAATGAGAAACAGAAACTGATAGGGAGCGCGAGGGCGAGAGCGCGCAGCCAAGCGCCTGAAATCCAGCAGTGTCATTAGCGTCTGTGTGAATGTCAGTAACTCCCTGAAGCACTGATAAGGGCTCACTGCAGAGGGACTTTAGGAGATGCATAGAAATGACAGAAGAAGGACTTCAGCAGCAAGTTGTTTTAATAAACAATAAACTAAGTTGGTTGAACATTAAACTGCATAATTAACAGATTTGGGGTTGATTAAAGGGGAAGTAGGCAGTTTTGGCTTGCTTTTAGCACCCCCAATGTCCATTTTTAGAATCGAAAGCAACATCTATCTGCTTGCTGAGCGTTTGTCTTTTTAACACCTTGATCTAGCAGCTGAAATGTCTCCCCAGCCTTCCTTAGTGTCTGCAGGAGTGATTCATCTCTAAATTTAACAAATCAGCTGCGTTCATGATCTTGAACATGCAGGAAACGTGCGGGAAGCAGACTGCAGCGCCAGGTCCTAACAGACCTAGCAGACCTGCCACTCTCAAGTTGCAAGTGGAATATTCTGGCCACAGAGGGAGTTAGGGGCTGTGTGGCCTTTCATTAATCCTGTGAAGGGTCATTCTAACACATACTGGCACAAGGAAACTAGTTTAAAATGGGAAAATTTTGCTAAGTATCTCTTTAAACTCAAATGTTTAAAAAACTCACTGGAGGGATTTAATAAACCCAGAGCAGCTGTTCTGTTCTGGTCCTGCTGGACCTGACTGCAGCCTTTGACACTGTTGACCATCACCTGCTACTGGAGAGGCTGAGAGACTGGGTAGGCCTGTCAGGAACTGCTCTGGAGTGGTTCTCCTCCTATCTGTCTTAGTGTTCCTTCTCTGTTGTCGTCTCCAAGTTTTGGTCCTCCACCACCTCCCTCACCCATGGTGTCCCACAAGGTTCTGTGCTGGGGCCTCTACTGTTCTTCCTCTTTCTGCATATCCTGAGCTCCTTTAAAGAAATCTCCTACCATTGTTTTGCAGACGACATCCAACTGTACATCTCCTTTAAGCCCCATGAGATGTCTAAGCTGCAGCTTTTACACACCTACTTAGAAGAAGAAGAAGAAAATATCATTTCTATAGCACCTCTTAAGATAAAAATCACGAGGCGCTTCGACTTAGACTCTTAAAACCTGGATGGCTGGGAACTTTCTACAGCTGAATGAAGATAAGACTGAGATCCTTGGTCAGCTTGCTTCTCAGGATTCTGACCTTTGACCCAGCTCTCACCCTGGATTCTCATGTCAGTTCTCTTGTTCACTCTTCCTTCTTCATCTCAGGAACATTGTGCCATTCTGTCCTTCTCTGAACTTAAGACGTTTAGCACGCTTAGACTACTGCAACTCGCTTTTCAGTTTAAGACCATGGAGAGACTTCAGCCTGGGGCACATCAGAGACAGACATGTCGAGCCGTGGAAGTGCTGCGGTTTTGAGAAACACTTCTTGGAAAGTCGTGCGAAAGTCACAACATCACGCGGGCTACATTCAGTGGTGAGCCCAGAAATAGACCCACTGCAATCTGCATATGAAGTAAACATGGAGGTGGAGGACACGCTCATCTACCTGCAGCACCGGGCTCTGACTCAACTCAACATGCAAAAGGACTCTGTGAAAATCATATTCTTCGGCTCCTCAAGTGCTTTCAACACCATCCAGCCATGTTTACTGCAGCAGAAGTTGACGGGTGCAGGAGTGGATGAAGATCTGACTGCATGGACCATCAACTACCTCATCAATAGGCCACAGTACATGAAGCTGCAAAATTGTATGTCTAAGGAGCTATGTGCAGTACTGGAGCTCCACAGGGTACAGTGCTCTCACCCTTTCTCTTCACCTTCTTCCACAAATGTGGAATGACCTACCAAGCACTACCAGAACAGGGACTTCCTTTTCAATTTTCAAGAAACTCCTGAAGACCCTGCTCTTCAGAGAGCATCTTCTAAACTAGCACCTTGCCTGCACCCGTCCCCCTCTCTACTGTCCACTCCTTGTTCCCTCCTCACCATGATTGATGTCAAGTTGTTGTTGTTATTGTTGTTGTTAGCCTCAAGGGCAACATGCCGATTATCACTTGTAAGTCGCTTTGGACAAAAGCGTCTGCTAAATACATAAACAAACATAACCTTCTACACCTCGTCCTTCACCTACAACACCAGCAGCTGTCACCTCCAGAAGTTCTCTGATGACTCGGCCATTGTCGCCTGTGTGTCTGAGGGGAATGACGAGGAGTACAGGTCAGTCATCACGGACTTTGTGGACTGGTGTGAGCATAACCGCCTTCGCTTGAACACCAGTAAAACAAAGGAAATGGTGATTGACTTCCAGAGAAACACTCCTCCTCACTCACCAGTAAACATCCAGGGAGCAGACAGTGAGGTGGTGGATACCTTTAAGTACCTGGGTGTTCACCTCAACCGCAAACTGAACTGGTCCAACAACACAGATGCTCTGCATAATAAGGACCAAAGCCGCCTCCACCTCCTGAGGAAGCTGAGGTCCTCCGGAGTTAATTCCCAGCTGCTAAAATCATTTCATCACTCTGTGGTTGGATCTGTTATCCACTCTGCTGTAGCTGTTGGGCTGCAGGCAGCTCTGACCGAGACAGGAAGAGACTGATCAAGCTAGTTCACAAAGCTAGCTTGGTTCTGAGCTGCCCACTGAATACAGTTGAGGAGATGTGTGAAAGGAAGATGTTGGGGAGGATTACCTCCATCTTAAAAAAAAAACGTCCCTGTGGGTACAAGTGGGGTGGTGTGGTGGCATCAGATGGCGTAGGCCAGACGATGCCCGCACTGCCCGCTCACCACAGCCATGGAATACACCTCATCAACACTCACTAACACCATAGTGGAGCAGGCGGAGGGAGACTAGGGGTCTTAGCACACCTCTGTTGTTGCTAGGCCTCCTGGGGCTGGAGGCTAGGAGGGAGATCTGGCCGTCTGGTTGGGGTCTGGGGTGGTGGGTTGCTGTGCTCAGCGTTGGGTGGGGGAGCCTGCTCATCAGCACCCCAGCAGAAAGGGTCAAACTCTGGTAACGGGTGATGGTTGTACCCCATGTGCAGCAGTACCGGGTGTGTATGGGGAGCATGAGGGAGGGAGTGTGTGACTTTGATGTGTATGACTGTATATGTCAGGTGGGGCCTTTGACTCCTCCCCTCTCCTGGGACTTCTTTTGATGATATAGATCTTCGTCTCCCCTCCCCCTACCGCACCTGGTGTGGAGTGCGGTGCCTTAGTCTGCCTGAGTGTTCGTGGCTCCCGGGTCTGGGAGTTTAAGATTTTTGGCATCTGCCTGATCAATCCCGGTGGCGGCCTGGTGGGATCTGGGTCTCTGCGCTCTGCTGGGTCCCCGGTGGGGGTGGTCGCCCCTGGATCCCGGGCTGCTGGGTCCCGGGCTCGGCCGGCTAGGGGGTGGGAGGCTGCGGGCGGGCCTGTGGGCTTGCCGCTGATATCTCTCTGCCGGCTGCTGGTTGCAGCTCCTTCAGGGCAGACTGAGACATCCCAGATGTAAAACAGAATGCTGCCGTAGGTCATTCATCCCTTCTGCAGTAAGAGTGTAATAACTCCTCAGTTTAACTGGTACTGGCATTATCCTGCGACACAATAATGCCAATGAAATATTCAATATGCGTTCAATACTTGTGAAATACCGTATTTACATAGTGTTTCTGTGTCTCTTGCAGTATGCTGCATAGTTCTGGAATTCAAGTTTTTAATTTTTTATTTGTGGTTTTTAGTGGTTGAAGGTTACAATACTAGCTTACTGCCTTTGTGTATATATACATGCACCTTTGATATAATTTTTCTTCTATTATTCTATAGTGTTGGTGCTGCTGTAACATGGAATCCCCCCAATGTGGGATCAAAAAAGTCTCTTCTATTGTATTCTAAAACCTCCCTGAACCGTCTACAGGTGGTTCAGAACGCCTGTGCTCGGCTTCTGACCAAGTCCTCCAAACACACCCACATCACCCCGCTTCTCCTCCAGCTTCACTGGCTGCCAGTCAACTTCAGGGTTCATTTCAAGATCCTGGTTCTGGTCTATAGGGCCTTACATGGACAAGCACCATCTTACATTGGTGATCTTCTTAGTCCCTACACCCCCAGCAGGTCCCTGAGGTCCAGCGATCAAAGCCTACTGGTTGTGCAGCACCAGGCTAAAGGTCAAAGGTGACAAATCATTTGCTGCTGTGGCCCCCAGACTCTGGACCTCTCTCCCCCTGAGCCTGAGATCAGTGGACTCAGTGGTCTCCTTTAAAAAGCAGCTGAAGACTCACCTGTTCAAGCTGGCTTTTTTGTGACCTTCATCGCCCTCTCCTAGTTCTGCTCTTTTTACCAACTCCGCCTTTTCCACGATCCACTGATTTCCCTCTTTCCTATTCATTTTTTCTCTCCCTTTCCTTATATTTTTTAATCACAATTTTATTTTTGTTATTTGAACCATATCTTTTAATTTTTTATGTTATAAATGTTTTGTTCTTGTAAAGCTCCTTGTGATTTTTAGCTTGGGAGGCGCTAAATAAAATATTACTTTCTTTCTTCTTCTTTGTTGGATGTGCATTTACAAGTGATTCGCTTTTGGAGTCAACCCCATTAAAGATGGCTGACGCAACTGAATGACGTCAGAAAACACAAAAATAGCTACAAATCAAAAACCATGAATGTAACTTTGACATAAAATTGCAAACAAAACCGGTGAAACATCTGCTTTAGAAGTCATAAAGACATTTAAGAGTTAATTATTGCGTTTTACTCGTTAAACCTGAGGTATCTGGGATTTGTCGTGTGCATGCTGGCTCTCTCCCTGAAGTTTGAACAGGTGCTTCTCCTCTCTCCTCTCTAACCACTCTGGATCTCTGCACTGACCTCAGCTCTCCATGACTCATCTTGCAAGGTGCTGGCGGTGCGCTGTGATTGTCTGTGATGGCTATGGTCACTGGTGTGTGTCCACTTCCTGGATCCCAGCAGGTGTCTGTGTCCACAACCTGGGGGGGCACAGTGAAGAAAAGTCAGAAGTGGAGATTAATCATTTTTTGTGAAAGGAATATAAATAATGACGTTTCTGGGGTCAAAAACTGTCAGTCACCCGCACAAATCTCTGATCAGATGGGAGTTACTGCCCTTTATAACAGGACAGATGTAACTAACCACAACTGTAAAAAATATTTCAAATAATCAGAATTTCATGCAGAGAAACTGCAATGAGATTCATTTTTTGTAGGTTTGAAAAGCGTTTTGTGTGTGTGTGTGTGTGTGTGTGTGTGTGTGTGTGTGTGTGTGTGTGTGTGTGTGTGTGTGTGTGTGTGTGTGTGATTGGCTGTCCCAAATAAATATTCCTTGTCTGATTAATTTTAGACTAGTTTATGTCATGAGCCCTGGCTGGTCTAAAGGATAAACAGTTTATACATCTTGATCGTGAATAAGGAGACAAAATGATATTTAAAATGTTTATTTTCAGCCTTTTTTAAACTCTTTTCTGCATAGCGTTTAGCTTCAGAGAACGCTTAGGCTAATGTAAAAAAAACATAAAACTCTAGATGAAAATAAGCTTAACTTACCCAAGCAAGATAGCAAAATATACAAACCTACTAAACTGCTAATTGATGATTAGCTTGAGATCCAGGAAACAGGACCCAATCACAAGGGGGAAGGCGGAGACCAAAACAGAAGAGTTAATGCAAAAACAAACATCCACAAAGGGAATATTCCACAAGGTTTTCTAGAGAATTCTTGCATAATTTTACTCTTAGGAGCACAAACTATAGGCCATCATCTGTTTCTGTGGAGGATCACAGTGTAGGGAGACAGTTTATAGGCACTTTGTTATTGCTGGACGTCTTGGCTAGTTTAGGCTAACCGTTAGCATTAGCAACTTCATTTCCGGGCAGGAGCGTCTCAGGATCTGTCTGAGATCCGTCTCGGTGAGACAGATAATTGCAATCCAAAGTGCTTTTTATGTGTGATCTGACAATTGATCAACCATTGCTTATAAATTAAATACAGCTTAGCCGGTTAATTGCTGTGATCATAAAACACGTAAACGGCAGCACGCAGAACTCACGAGGCAACGTTTTACGTGACGTTTACTTGCTGCTATGAGTAATAAGACAGAAAAAGCCACGCCAAAATAAGTTTAGGAAGCCCACTAAGAATTGTAATAAAAGCATTTAAAATAAATACCATACACAGTTGAGGAAACGTTGGTTTACGTACCTGATATGAAGTGGTCGCTGCATAAGTGAAAACCTTTACTCTCGGGGTCCCACAGTTTCATTTTAGCCCGGTCACTAGCGCGTTTTATTACAATGATCCAACGTTTGCGGCGCTCCGGATCTTGGGGAATCCTGTAGATGGCTCATTCCTTATGTCGTCCGCGTCTGTTCTGCATCCTGGGGCACAACAGGAATCTACCATATCTCCTGTCTGATTGAGTTTTCTGACAATAACAAATAGTCCAGCTGCAGGCTTCTGCCTGCCAATATGGCGCCGTTTTGATTTGAACTGTTGCATGCCGGGAGAAGTGACGTCAACTCCCGGAGCTCTATAACATGCACAGCTGATGTAAAACCACAGAGAGTAGGTGAACAACAAAGATCAGGACACTGATCTGACACCAATTAGCAGAGGTGTGACCAAGTCACTGCTTTGCAAGTCACAAGTAAGTCACAAGTCTTTCCAGTCAAGTCTCCAGTTAAGTCCAAGTCAAAGACAATCAAGTTCAAGTTGAGTCCAAAGTCAATGATGTGGAAGTCCAAGTCAAGTCCATCCAGGATCAGGCCTCTGCTGTCCAGAGCTCATCTGGAGTCTGTGTTGCATGCTTTCGTCCTGTCCCGTCTGGACTACTGTAACGCTCTGTAAGCCGGTCTGGCCCAGTGCACGGTTGCACGGCTCCAATTTGTACAGAACTCTGTGGCTAGGTTCCTGACAGGTACTAGATGCCGAGATCTCATTACTCCTGTGCTGCTGCTCTGCACTGGCTCCCGGTGCAATATCGAGCTAAATTTAAGATCTTAGCTCTTGTTTATAAGGCCCTCCAGGGCAGTGCCCCCTCTTACATTACTGCACTTTTGCACAGGTATGCTCCATCTCGGTCTCTTCGCTCAGCCGAGCAGGGACGTCTGGTGGTCCCCCGGTCGAAATATCGATCGAGGGGTTGTCGTGCTTTTTCTATTTTGGCTCCAACTCTGTGGAAAGAATTGCCATTGAGCACTAGGCAGGCACCATCCCTTCAAGTCTTTAAGTCTCGCCTGAAGACTCATTTTTATTTGATTGCTTTTCAGCGCTAGGGTTCATTGAAATGCCCTGACATTATGGTTTTTAATTCTTCTTCTTTTTGACCAGGATGCTTGATCTTATTTTGTCCACCATTTGTTTATGATTGATTAGCCTTATTCCATTATCTCTCTGTATTTGCAATATTGCTTGCTTGTTATTTTATGATTTTATGTTTTTATCTTGCTTTTATGCCCAGGTACTGGGAATGTTTTTATGATGATGCTGTTCAGCACCTTGGGCTCCTGATAACGTTGCGGAAGGTGCTCTACAAATAAAATTGATTGATTGATTGATTGAAGTCCCAAGTCCTTAAATTTTAATTTTCAAGTCATAATCAAGTCGTCTGTCAAACTTGAATTTAATGAAAATGATAATAAATAAATTCCAGAAATAAAGCTTCTTAAAGCTTCATTTATTTGCTCAAACAAGCAGGAAGTGCAACTGATTATAAACAAAGAGCTGCTGCAGTTAGCAGTAAATCAAACCCAGAACGAAGAATGATTTATGATTTTTGTCCATGTCGTGCCACTTTTGTGCTAAAATATCAAATATGCTCAAGTCATCATCAAGTCAACAGATGCAAGTCGATTCAAGTCGCAAGTCACTGGCGTTCAAGACCGAGTCAAGTCGTAAGTCTTTATAGTTTAGTTTAGTTTATTTCAAACAAAGAAAACATACATAATTTTTTTTAAAAATACCACAAACAGAAAAAATACATATCATCATCCCTTCTTCTCTGTTTGAAAAGGAGTAGGCTGAAGTAGGAACTTATATGTCCCTACCCCTTTATACAAGTAAGTTTTACTTGTTTACTAAATCTAACACAAAACCTACATTAAAACAAACAAAATGGTACAAGTCACCAAAAAAAAAAAACACCAAACCATATGGAAAAAAAAACAAAAAAAGAAAAAAAAACATCTTTTTACAATTGATACAATTTACTTTTCCTTATAATAAAGGACACCCACATAAATCATCGATTTTCCACTATATACTTGTTCAGAATATGTTATAGATTTTTCCAAATCCACAGAACTCATTAAAATGATGACTCGAGTCTGACTCGTGTCCAAGTCATGTGACTCGAGTCCACACCTCTGCCAATTAGCACAAATGCCTTGATCAGTATGTGTGACATCAGATCAAGTCATTTTGTTTTCTGTACAGCCATGCGGTAGAAATACCACCGTTTCAAAGCAGAAGACGTAGTGTTTGTGTTGTGATTAAACTGCAGTTTAACGTAATTCCTGTTGGTCTTCTTCTACTTTTACCTCCTGCTGAACAGAAGCAAAGGTCAGCGTTTTCTCTGAGAGGTTAGGATAATCGGCGTTGGTGCTTCCTGCTGCTGCGCTGGGGCATGAGAAGAGAGGTGGGGGCAGGGAGGAAGAGGACAAGGAGGAAGATGAGAGAGGCAGACACAGAAAAGGGGCAGCTCTGAGACGACAATGACAAATTGCCTCGTATTTATTTAAATTGTGCAACATGATCTTTTGACTGTGTTGTAATGTGTGTTTTCAGAGTCTGACCTCGCTGATGAGCCTAACAATAACAAGCTTGTAACGAGGAGAAGGCGAGACAATAAACTAGCGGGACGCCTGGTTGACAGCGCTGGTGTACAAACTCATTTAGAAAACAGACCCACCTCTGCCAAAAACATTCCAGATCCTGATTTAGAGAACATCCATTCCTTCCCTCTTCTTCCTGCTCTTGCACTAATTATTTACCCTTCATTCACTAATTTTCAGATTTTGTTCTGAATTATCTGAGTTATAACCAATGCGTTTGTCTGAAATAAAAAAACTACATTTTGTTTTTTTCTCCATAAAAGCTTCTTTCTGAATCAATCAATCAATCAATCAATCAATCAATCAATCAATCAATCAAAGATACTTTATTAGCCTCAGAGGGAAATTAGTTTCAGTACACACAATTCAGAGATCAGACATACATGGGCAAGACACATGACAAGAATTGGTGACTGTGGTCATTCGCAACCCTGAGTCGCGCTACCTTAATAGAGATGAGAGGGTTATATGAGGGTTGGTTCAGGTGGAGGGGAAAAAAAGGCACTTCAGAGTTACCCTCCCACCAGGAGGTCAGCTTTGCGCTGCAAAAAAAACCCCTCAGACAGACAGATATGCAATAGACTTCAGACATTACACAACATAAGTGTCCACTAGGTGGGGTGGTGGGTTGGGACTATCCCCACTTCAGTTCCTGCAGCCACGATAAGCAGCGCATGTCACCTCAGTGTGGATGGGGGAGAGGCATTGAGGGTTGGAGGGTTGCAGTGACCCTGGAACGTTTCAGCGGCCTCCCGCAGTCCCGCCCAGGCTGGGATAGGAGACAGAGTTGAGTTGCCATAGCGACAGCATATTCCACATATCTTCTGAGGGGGGAGTTTTCGTTGGAGCCTCGCAGGCTCAAGGACGCCAGATTCCGATTAGAAATTGTTTTGGGGCCAGACAGAGATAATTTCCTCTCTGTCTTAAAGTTTGTTGGTCCTCAACCTCTCAAAATCCCAATAATGGACATTAATCTATCCCAATCCGTGCTGATTCGTCCACTCTCTCCTTGATGGCATCCATCTTTTGTGCCAAAGAATGAAACTCGGCCAAAGTCCCAAGCTTACGATTCATCTCAACAATTATTTGAGTCTGTGAATTCACAGCGCGGTGAAAACCATCTCTGAGCTCCAGGATCCGGCCAATATTCCTCGACAGCTCGTTAATTTTCCGGTAAGCCAGGTAGCCTCCAAGGCTAATGAGCAGGAAACCTGACACCAACACCACGAATATCCACACGTCTTCAGAGTCCTCCACAGACAGCTGGGATAAACAAATCAAGTTTCACTGTTTCCAGGAGTCCATGATGTCAACTGGGTCTGTCCCGGAGGGGCATCTGGGAGCCCCTTCTCCCGTTCTCATTGTTAAAAAAACTTCACACTGTTGGGGAAAAAAAATGAGCTGATACCTGGTGCTGCAGTCTGATTCCAGCATGTTCGATGCAAATCATTTGTCTAACTTTCCACCAGAAGCATAAGCAACGTGCAACAACACGGCCGTGGTGGCACGTTCTCTTCCTACTGGGAGAGTTTCAGATGCACAGCACCTGCAAAAGCCTTCACCAAAGCTGGTTCCACCAATCCCCTATAATTCTGCAGCAAATATGAAGCCAAAACGGAAGTGACAACAATTGCAGTTCCACCCTCATCCACTAGGGTCTGGCAGCAGAAAAGAGCACATCTTCATTTCATTTATTTCACAGCAGAAATAAACATGTTTACAGCCTGGTTCAAACAACCATTTTAGGTTTAGTAGATCTTTCAGTACTTTATTTTGCTGGTTGGAGGGAATGCTGTGTCATTTAACTGCTTAACATGTTAGTGGGAATGCATAAGAAACTTGAGCGGGTGCCCAGCTTCTCCTGTCTCCTGCCTGAGAGTAGCAGGCGGCTGCCCGCTCCCATTTTCCGGGGCAGCCGGGCCGACTCCGAAGCGAGGCTGTACTCATGCTGCATCTCTGAGGGAAACCACAGAAACACCGCAGCTCTTTTTGTTGATGCTGCTTCACTTTTGAGACGCTCCGCATTTTTCTCGCTGAAAACACCCGGGAAAACGCCGTTAGCTTCAGGTTATTATGTAGCTAATGTCCCGCTGAACTCCAGCTCCCGGAGAAGGGACTGTCATCAACAGCGGACACGCAGATCTTTCACTGCAGTGGACCAGCGAAGCCCGACATCCTCAGTCAGCTAACCTAGTTATGATTTTGTTACTAACCAGGCCGGAGGTGCCTTTAAGTTGGAGTCACTCTACCGCGTTTTTCTTGCTGAAAACGGCCAGAAAAACTGTGTTAGCTTCGGGTTAGCATGTAGCTAATGTCCCGCGAGCAAGAGCTGATGTAAAAGGCCACGGTGCCCGGTTACTATTGCAGCGGTCTGAGGCTTCGCTTGTAATTTAACAGTCCCAGTTCATAGTAGACCTCTACAGGCGATCAGCATGGTACAGCCTCACACGGGAGCCAGTCTGCCGTGCGGATGGGATATCTTGGGCCAAAGAGCTCTTCTTAGCTTCTTGGGTTAGCCAAGTTAGCTCGTAGCTTCACTGGTTCATTTGTTCCCACCCTGTTCCAAATGTGACAGCCCCACCCTCTTTTCTCATTTTTGGATTGCCTGGGCGTGACGAGACCTGTGACACGGTCAAAATTTGATTGATTGATTGATTGATTGAAAATGGCGGTAGAGGGAGCCTCCCATTTGGGCACAAAAACTTATAATTCGAGCCTATGGACATGAACTGTCCAATATTTATGTCAATGGGTCCCACAAGATCACAGAGTCACAGGAGAATTGCAACATCACGTGTGATTTCACGAATTCACACGAAAACAAGACAGGAGAAAGACGACACCAAGTGTCTAAAAGGTTAGAGTTTTTTGTTCTATTCTTTTTACCTCGGTAACGGAGGTTTCACGGGTCATGACAGATTTTAATCTTACAGGAATTCTGTATCTGGGCGTGTAGCATCGGAAAAATAGACTGTGTGAAAATTTAGCAGAGCGTTGCAACCCGTCCGTTTGTGCTGGTGGCGACTTTTAGCTGCGTGCTACACTTCATCAGTGTTATATGCTGCTTACACATCCAGTGTGGAGCCTGGGTGAATGTTTCGGAAGCTTTGACTGCCTTCACTATGACTACACCTCATCTGTCCAATCAGAAGCAATCTCTGTTTCCCCTAACTGAGGCTTTTACCTATGTAACGGAACAAATGACTTGTATTTTTCCCTTCATTGCTCAGGACTAGTCTGCATGAGAGATAGTCTCAAGGTCTCATGTATTCCTTCTAACCTGCGTATTTTCAGCTCAACAGAAGAACGAAGAATGAACTCTTTTCTTTTAATTAATCAAAGAACTCTATTTTAATAAAGCTAATCCATCAAAGTGTTAGTCAATAAATAAGATGTGACCGACCTGTGAAATCAAAATATTAATTACTTTATTATGATCCTATAGAAATAATAAGTACTGTTACTTTGAGTGTTCCAACAGGACTCATTTCACGTAGTGTTAAAAGGACATAACACATTACTTTCACTGATCCAATCAGAATCTTACAGATCTGACGGAGGCGTGCTTCTGACGGTGTTTGGTAATTTTCATTCGACAATAATCCATAATATCCGAAGTATAAAACTACGCCACTTCAGCTCTAACGACAGTTCAAAGCGTTCCAGAGAAAGTGACGGAGTGGCCAATCCTGATCTTTTAACTCTTTAACCGAAAGAACCAACGACAAGCTGAAAAACCCAGTCGCTATACCAACCAGCGGCAACAACAGCTCCTTTCAGAATAAAAGCTCCATCCACCGACCCAGGCTTGGGTCTGACCAGACGCCAATGAATGTGTCGTGTGCTGGAAGTAACTCAAGACGGGTTTCATCGGAACCGCGGCTTCTCCTACCGGCTCGGTTTCCCGAGAGGGTTCACTGGACCTCGATATTCCTGATCTACAGAGGACTTCCACAAGGCAAAGGTAGACCGGCAAATGATGTTGCATGCATTTTCTGAAGCTAACTAAAGCTTAATTCAAAACAACATCTTCAGTTCCCGTCAGACAACACATTCTCACTCCCAGCGCGTCAAAAACAAACACTTGGTCAGCCACCCGCCACATCAGACCCCTGATGCCAAAAGTGCCATTTTTCGTTACTTATGTGCGAAAAGGGGTTTTTCCCTTATTTGACTGCATATCCCAATGCAGCGTTACACTGACGCGATGGGATGTCCGCAGCCAGGGCACCAAACAAGCTCATTGTACCTCACCTTAACCTTATCCTCTTATTTAACCTTCCCCTCACCCCTATCCTAACCTTAACCATTTTGCTAGTGAACACGTTAGTGATGTGTCGATCGCTCTAAAAGCCGGCTCTATGAAGTGAACGGCGGGAGCCGCCTCGTCATTGGTCGAGTTTGGACCGAGCCAACGCGAGGGGGAGGTTTCAACTACCATGGTGGAGGTTAAAAGTAGATGGTATGTGTAACCTCCCCCTCGCCAGATGGTATGTTCTAACGTTCCCCTTGGGCGGCAAATACGAAAATTGACAGTCAGACTCTGACTGTCAGAGTCAGAATGAATGGGAAACAAACGCTTGATCGCAGTGAGAGTAACGTTTTAGGTAGCAAGAGGGTTAAGGTTAGGATGAGGGAGAGGGGAAGGTTATAAATGGTGAAACGTTAAGGTTTAGAGGCGCTTAAATGAGCTGGTTCGGTGCCGCATCAGCGGATATCTAATCACGTCAGTTTTACGCTGCATTGGGATCTGCAGTTACAAAAGGGGAAAACCCCTTTTCGCACATAAGTGACGAAAAAGGGCACTTTTGGCGTCTGGGGTCTGATGGGGAGGGTGGCTGACCAAGTGTTTGTTTCCGACGCTTAGGGTGTGAGAATGTGTTGCATCAGAACTAATCGCTTCTTCGGATATACTGGTTCTGATATAACATCACACGTCATCCATTCACCGCATCATCCATTTTTAGTTACACTATACATTCACAGAATGTAGTTAAAAGTCTTCAGCTTGTCCAAAATGCTGCAGCTAGAGTTCTGATGAGAATTAAAAAGAGAGATCATATCTCTCCTGTCTTAGCTTCCCTACATTGGCTACCTGTTAAATTCAGAATAGATTTTAAGATCCTTCTTCTCACATATAAAGCTCTTAATAATCAAGCTCCATCATACATCAGTAATCTGATTGCTCCATATGTTCCTAACCGAGCACTTCGCTCTCAGACTGCAGGTCTACTGGTGGTTCCCAGAATATCTAAAATTAGGATGGGAGGCAGATCTTTTAGTTATCAGGCTCCTCTCCTGTGGAACCAGCTCCCAACTTTAGTCCATGAGGCAGACACTTTGTCTACTTTTAAGAATAGGCTTAACACATTTTTATTTGATAGGGCCTATAGTTAAAATCTGATGTTAGCCTAAATCTGGACAAGTGGGGGAGTACAGGGAGGTGGAGTGTACAGTCGGTAAAGACGGCTCTCCCTTGCCC